TTAATTTACAAGGTCCTTAGCATCCCTAAGAGACATGAGGACCAATTGGCTGTGTTTCTTGGGAGTGGGCTGGGGTATATTCCTCTTTCCTTTATGGAAACAGGGGGAGGAACTAAACTGGTATGATAGAGAGAAATGTGTGTGTGATTTCGTTATAAATAGCTGGGCTCATAAATGCTGTGTTTTATTTTAAGACAAATATTCAACGCTGGGACTCACCCATTGAAGAATGAGGTGGAAGAGGCAAGCAAGATTTGCATCACATCATTCTGTGGCCCAATTTGCTTGGATCTAAAATGATTAACTGGAAGGACAGATCCTGAAGCGGAGGCTCCAATACTTTGGGCATCTCATGAGAAGAGAAGACTCCCTGGAAAAGACCCTGATGTTGGGAAAGTGTGAAAGCAAGAGGAGAAGGGAATGACAGAGGGCGAGATGGCTGGACAGTGTCACCGAAGCGACTGACATGAATTTGACCCAATTCCGAGAGGCAGTGGAAGACAGGAGGGCCTGGCATGCTCTGGTCCATGGGGGTCACGAAGAGTCGGACACAACTAAACAACTAAACAACAACAACAACAAATTTGTATTTGTATCCCTGGGGATATGAATATGAATAGCAGCACCACAGGCACCATGGAGGCCAATTCCCTCCCCCTAGAATCGGCCAGTCTACTCACTGGTTGTAGCGTTGTAGCGTGGCATTCAGCTCCACCATCATAATCACGCCCATCATAAAAGGAGTCTGGCCAGCTCTTCCCTTCCTCCCCCCTCAGCCAACAACTGCAGTGCAGAGGTGGGACAGGGGGAATCTTCCCCACTCAACCGATGAGAGGTCAGCTGCATGGGGAGGCGGGGAAGAGCTGGCCGGGATCCTTCCACAACTAGCGCAGCAATGACAAAGGAGCCAAGCAGCATGCTGTGAACAGCGTGTGGACCAGCCGGTTCTGGAGGGAGCCAATGGGCCTCCATGGCACCTGTGGTGCCACTATTTGTATTCATATATCCCCAGCGACACGAATACAAATAGTCCATGTCTACTTCCAACCTCTGGCTCTGCAGCCAGATAAATGCTGGTGCGTCTCATTTCTACAAATAGCTCGGCCCATGGTCTGCCTCAAAAACTGTGAGAGGGAAAAAAAAACCCTACAAGACTCCACCGTATTCTACAATAGGTAAGTGGATTAGGTAAATTCATTTCTCATGGAGGTGGCCCTCTCCGTTGATTGCATTATCAGGATGCAGTTTTCTCTTCTAAATGTTAAGAAAGGATTTGAGACTCTTGCAGGGAGGAAATCCTATAGCATTTCTCCACCTCCTGGAGTTACCTCAGTGAAGCATACTTCGGGTTGCGATCGCAAGTTATAAATTCCCCGGACTATTGAGTTTAATCCTTTTCAATATAGCTTCCCCGGGGTGCTGAATTGTGTGTGTCCACCTTGTAAACAAGTTAATTTATACAGGAAGGCATGTTCACAGCAGTGCGCTGCCTTTAGACAGTATTAGAGGGGGCCGCATTCACGGCTCGGGAGCTGCTGCGATTTCTCTTTCTGATAATGAGCCCTCCAAGGCCAGGCGGGTTACATTTATTACTGTAAACAGTACCAAGGAATGTCAGAGGGGAGGCTGGCAGAAAAGAGTCGGGACCGGCCCTCCCATTAGGCAGAGTGAGGCAGCCACCTCGCGCAACAGACTGTGTCATGAAAGGGCAGTGTTGTGGAAGAGAATGTTTCAGTATTTGACATCGTACTATTGCATTTTTATTCGCCTATATAGAGGATGTCGAGAAGCACTTCCATGTTTTCGTGCACCTGAGGTATTTATTCTTTTTCTGTCAAAGGCAAGCTACTTGAGATTGACAACAAGGCTGTGTCCCCCTCCAAAGGGGCAATAGGTTGGACACATATTCTGTACATTCACCATTGTTAAGAAAGAGGTCATCAGCTTGGAAATTTCATGCAGGTGTGATGTAACAAACAGAGCAGGATGTGCTGTGGGCATTTTCTTAGCATGAGAATGGCAGCAGTACAAAAAGGGACCGGCGTTTGGGGTTTTCTTGGACTACAAATTCCATCATTCTCCTTTCTAGGCATCCCACCTGGCAGAGCCAGGCCATACAGATGTCTAAATTGTGCTCGCCTAGAGAGGAAAGGACCAGCTGACAGGCTTCATTCCTTGGATAGGCCTAACTTCCTGTTTGAAAAGGAAGTTTCTTAGCAACCATTGCAGCAGCTTCCTTTTCAAACAGGAAGTTAGGCCTTTCCAAGGCAAGGACCCAGCCAGCTGGGCCTTTTTCCCCCCAACTAAGCACAGTTGAGGCGTCTGTAAGGTCTGTACCCTGCAGCTTGTACACTTAGAAAAGAGAATAAATCGGATTTGTAGTCCAAAAATCCGAAATGCACAACCGTAATTAGAAATACAAGATTTAATAGCCGCCATTTTCTTCCATGAGATATTGAAAGCAAAATGTACATATCTTGTAACAGAAGTCAGACTCATTTCCCTTGAAAATTTGCTGGGATTGTTTTTGAAGATATGAAAACTATAGACTTGAAAAATGTAATAAAAGCTGGTACGCTTCTCAAGGTGATAAATTACATATCCAGTTTCAACGTGAGTTTCTGTGTGGCACACCAGCAGTAGTAACTGCTGTTTACATATATCTGGTGAATAATTATTTATATCCATAGCAGATTTATATAGGCTATGGATTTGTGACTCGTAGAACGGGTGTGATCCGTGAAGGTGCAATACAGGGAGCACGCATCAACGCAGAACAACAACCTTGGCTAGTTATACCCTCAGACGAACAAATGGTCTGAAAAGAGGTGCAATAATAGCCCATATAGTTACCAGGAAGATACAGAAAGATATTCTAAAACGTTTCCCCCAGTAGCATTCAGAAGTGGTGTAGCAGCTGTTTCTTCATGATATCAGAAATGGACTCTAATTAGAGATGGGCACAAGCCACGGTTCCATGGTTCGGCCACAGAGCTTCTTCTTCTGTGGATGCCCCAGCTTCCTAGCCCTGCCTCCACCAGCAGGTGCCCACTCAAGAGACAGCGGCTGGAAGAGAGAGGGATGGGAAGCCAAGGCGCCCAACGAAGAAGCAGTGTGACCAAGCTGCCAAACCGCATCGAACTGGTTCGTGCCCATCTCTAGTGATAATCCATGAAAACTGGCGTTAAATAAATCTGCTAGGCTTTAAAGGTGCCACAAGACTCTTCAGCTTCTGTTGTGCTACTGCGGTTTCAGTGAAGATCATTGGGAAAGGGAAGGAGTGTTCATGTCCACACACGGTCCGGAGGTCGCTAGATTACAGAGGCAAGGAACGGGTGATTCCTGGACAGTGAGAAGTGTTTTGTGTGTGAGACTCTGCACTCGTGTACATGGACACAACAAGTGTGTGCTGCTGTAAGATCCCAACCAACATGAAATCTTTTAGGACCAAAAATCTTGAACACCCCCATTTTAGAGCCTGAGAGATCAATGCCAAGGAAGATGAGGTCTCGGGTTCTTACCTTCCTCCATTTTGCATCATTTATAAGGTTTTGTTTTTAAAATAAGTAGCATTGCAACAATACAATAAAACATTCTGTTTACTGAGTGCCGTCATGAGGAGACCAAACTTCTCATAGCCAAACTTCAGCAAGAAGATTGTGATGCAAGTTGAGGGAAACCCGAGCATGGAAGTTACTTTTTAGAAGTAATTCATTCTTGTTCTTTGTTATAAAGTTTGGAAAGTAATGCAGATCCTCACTGATTGTCTATGGTCTGTATGCTATAAATTTTTACACTTTTTTTAAAAAAAGCATGTAATAACAAGATAATGACATGAAATAAGAAACATTTGGAACACACTGGCTGAAATATGCAGTTAAACAAAGTGTAACTTTTAGACACAAACTGCTGGAAATTTAAAAATCTGTATAGGCGTGATCTGTTGTATATTGAGTCTTACAACTCAGGGTACAACATAATGTGCATATGGAGTTTTCTTAATTTACAGTAATTCGTGTCTCAGATTTAAACTGTTTGCAGAACTGCGCGGTCAGATTTTAGCCAATGCCTCAGAAAATGCCTTAAAATGCCCTTTAAAAGTAACTTTTGAAACTAGCTAGAAAACAGCATTTCTTACAAAAAGGGAAGTATCTTTAATCTTCCTTGTTACTTTGCTTTTGTAATCTAATTCTGCCATAAATATGCTTGGCGCCCCCAAAAGCAACTGGTTACAGCCACAATTAACTTGCAATTTTCAATCAGTACATAGATAAAATAGGCATAAACTCCTTGCTCACATTGATTACCTTTGGCTCAGATTCTACTATAATGGGGGGGGGGGGCTAAACAAGTGACTCTTTCCAGCCCAGTTAAGTTACTGTGCCTTGCAGTTCACTTTTTGGTGGGCTGGCTATCTATCTGTTGCCTTGCGTGATGCTCACAAAGGCCACCTTCAAAGGATTGTTCTGGCCTCCTGCGATTTCTGAGCTGAGGAGGAAATGTCATAACAGCAGAGTTTGGGAAAGTTAGTTTTCAAGACTACCGCTCCCGGAAATCCCTAAGCCAACACAGACACCTGGTGCCCATACCTGCTGGGGGAATTCCGTGAGGCGGAGAGGTGATGTAATCTCTGGACAAATGAGCAATCTTCCCATCTGCGGCTTAGAAGGAAGGTACCTCCAGATGCCGGGTTCAGGGGAAGGGGGATCAGGAAAAATGTCCCTCGTGGTCTCCCAGAGGCATCTGGTGGGGCCACGGTGAGAGACAGCAAACTGGACTAGATGGGCCCTTGGCCTGATCCAGCAGGACCCTTCTTCTGTTATTATGGTATACGGAAGTGCACAAGGCATTCAGGCGGGCTTGGGCGGTGTGACTTCATGACACCAGATCTTGCTATTCTTTTGGATTATATCCCCATAACCTGGCGGGGTTAGGATTAGATCTGCCATGACTTCATGACACCAGATCTTGCTATTCTTTTGGATTACTATATCCCCAGAACCTGGCGGGGTTAGGATTAGATCTGCCAGTCTAAAAAATGATACTTCTCCAAGCCCCAAATCATCCCCGCCACCACCCTCAACTTATAGAAAGGCAAACATTGCGGAAAGGCCTATATCACTGTATAACAGGAGAAAAAAAAAGTCTGTACAGATAGAAATGTAAACATTAACACCCTTAATTCATACAATGCACCATTCAAGACATGAATGAGAAGAATCCCAGAAGCCCTTTGAAAGCTTGAAACCAAAACGGGCACAGCCCACATTAAAGAGTCCGGGGAATAAATACGGCCGGCAAGCTGATTCGCTGCTATTTGGTCCTGCCGTTTGGTGGCAAAGCCACCTCCTCCGTGCCCAGAAAAAATGACGTCTCTGCTCCTTTGTGTGGATGTGACATTCAAACCACCAGGAAGCCACAGGGATTAGCAGCAACTGCGTAAAAGGCTAAAAGCAGAAAAATGTGGAGGAAGTGTCTCACCCAATTTTATCTTGCCCGTCAAATGTTTTCTTTGGACCGGTATCTTTTAAAAAGACACTGCAGGCTTTCGTGTTGTCCGGTCATCTGTTCCCATTGCTTTGGGGCAATGAAGTGAAGGAAAGATCCGTCCATCCGGCTAGGACCAAAAGGTTTTTTTTAAAGCCTTTCCAAATGTCTCAGACGCTTATTCCTGTCTTTGTGAATTCTGTTTTCCCCCATCTGTGATACCAACCTCTTCAATGGCAGGGCCAGCACTGTACCTGTTGAGCAAACACTCAGTTTTTAAACAGGCAAAAATACCTGAGAAACATGCCTTAGAACGTGGCAGGTGTACCTTTCTTTCAGAGCTGAATACCTGGAAGTCCGGAACATGCAAGCGATGATCAGTCAAATGTTCTTTCCTTAGAAAGCTGGGTCTGTAGTTTTTTTTCCCCCTTCGGTGGTAGAGCTGAAGACACAAACATCTTTGCATCATTATCGCCATCAGTTATTAAGAACAGTGGTAATTTTAAAAAAATCCCAATGGGACTTGACCCAAAATATGAGGGATGAGGTGAACCAATCGCTATTTTACCACAGTTAGCTACATTGACCCTCCAGATATCCAGTTAAAAAAAACACCGCTTAATTACCAGTTGTCGATAATCCACAACTGAGGAGACCTGGCACTTCTGTGACCTTCACGGGACTCTCACTGTAGGGTGACACTCTTGGTCTTCCTCCAACGAGCATCTTCTCACGTTCACAAAAACGCAACAAAAAAAGTCCCCTAACACGTAAGTGCATTTCCAAATGGAACCACCCACCCTTTGCATCAAGGACTCGTCTACAAGGATGTGTGCATCAAATGCTCCAGAGTGCTGTCGTTCAACCTTGGTAGACCTTTTCTCTTCAAGGGATATTCCAGAATCTCCCCTTTTCCTGCTCAGCGCACCACACTCGGCGTAGCCATGCACGAGAGGCATGTGCAGCAAGCACACAGCCCCAGCAACGCCGACAGGGCCGCGGAAAACCGGGATTGGCGCTCATACTTGAGAGCTTTCTTGACCTCCTCGTTGGACTGGGAGATGTAGTCCAGAGTATGGAGAACGTTGTACTCGATGCTGTTGATGGTCTCCCCTTGCTCTGCGACCAAGACCTCCATGTGGAGAAAGAGGCTGTGTAGCTCACCGATCTGAGCTTCCAAGTCCAGCAGCTGTTGGTGGCGCACCTGTGCCAGGGCCAGATGTTGCTTGGCCTTGAGGACATCCAGATCTTGGCCGACGATGCGTGGTGCCACAGGGCTGTCGACGAGGCGCTTGAGGTCTTCTTCCTGGAGGCTCAATCCGGCCAGTTCTGTCTGCCTCCTGATCTGCTCCTTCAGCTTCTCCACGTACTGGGTCTCCTTGGCGTAATGGCAGGTGACAATCTCCCGGTAGCGGTTGATCAGGACGCAAAGCTGGCTGTGGCGGATGCGGTGGAGGGCCAGCCCTTGCCGGTCATCTCTGGCCAGAGATTCATGGATGCTGTTGAGCTTCGGCTGGAGGGTTTTGGCTTCCCTGGTGAAAGCCTCTTTGATCTTATGCAGCTCTTTCTTCTCCTCGCAGATGCTCTCCTCGGTGGTACAGCAGAGGACTTGATGTTGCTTTCTGTCAACGTTCTCGGAGAACTCCTCCAACTTATCCAGAGATGACGAGAGAGCGCTGATTTCCTGGAAGACCTTGTCCATGGCATTGCCCTCATCTTCTTTGAAAACAGGGTTGTCGAAGGAAAGCGTCTCGTCCACCTCCCAGTAGTCACTATCTTCATTCACTCGGTTCTTCAGTTCCTCTAATCGGTCCTTCATCTTCAGCTCTTCTCGAAGCTGGAAACATCCGTACCAGATGAAGCAGTGACCAGGGCACACCCATCGGCTTTTACAAGGATTCGGAGGGAGTTTAAGAACTTTTGCGTCAGTGGACGTCGCTTTCCAAAAAGGGAGAGAAGGAAAGGAGGAAAACTTCCCTCCCTAACACTATGGCAAATATTGACTATGGCAATAAGCTTCTAAAACAGCGTTTGCTCTTGATCACATGACGCCCAGAGACCGGCTAAACAAGATTCCATGCCAGATGTGAGTGGCACGTAGCCCATAAATAGAAGGTGAGCTGTAGAAATGAACTTTCTGAGTGGAGTTATGAGGAAATGTGAAGAGGAGGGGTGGGGGAAGAGATGTTTCCAGCTAGACTCGACCAATTCTAAAGGTGATCCTGTGTTATCTTTAACTGCCGGTGCCTAAACCGCCAGGGAAGATTGTGTACGCATTACGTGATTTCACAACCAGACCGTCCATTCACATGAATAACAGTTCAACTTACTTCCTTAAAAAAAAAAATAAGTCACTAGTCCTTAAAGTGGCAAAGATTTGTTTTTATAAGAAGAAAAGAAGGGTTTTTGATTCTTTGCCCTTAGCGAGCAGAATCAACATAAATTAGGAAAGGGAAGCATCAAAAAGCTGAATATGTGCTCAGGGAAGCGTGAAGATAGAAGAGCTAAAGCAGAAGTAGACCACAGTGGCTTTCCGGAAGTTTCTGGATGGCCACTCCCTTGATCCTTCACCTTTTGCTATGCTAAACACTTCTAGAGTATTTCTATTTTTACATTTTCTTAATTAGTTTTGCTGTTATGTGCCGTCAAATTGCATCTGGCTTATGAAGACCCTCATGGGGTTTTCAAGGTAACGGCGAGATATTTAAGAAGTGGTTTTAACCACATCATCCTTACAAATGGTTTTCTTGGTCTGTCACTCTATCCACTTTACCACACCGGCTCTGACACTCCAGCTTGTAATTTTTCTATCCTGCCTTTCATCTAAATAGCTCAATGTTGGAGATTTTACTGCCTCTAGTGGGTGTGGTTGGGAGGGACCTTTGTGGGCTGAGGTGACTGTCTGAGGTCACCAGCACTAACCAATAGTTCACTCCTGCCTCGGATTTCAAAAAGAGTCCTGCCTCTCTGTGGAGTGCTCCTTTCTTTCCCTCTCTTGAATCGGTTGAAGTCTGTTGCTGAAAGCAGCCAGTCTTTGATAAGTTTGCTGTTGATCTGTTCACAATTGGAAGTAATGGAACAGTTTTATTCTTTCTCCTACTAACGTCTCAGAGTGAGTTATTGAACCTGTAGGTGTCAGTTGATAAGGAAAGGGGTGGACTACTCTGTAGAACTTGAAGCTATTCTGCTCTGTGAATCCCTGCACTTCTGCTGCACTACTAGAGGAATTTAACCCACAATTCAAAACTGTGCAACACCCAAGGCAATACCTATGGCTCTAGTGCTCTTCCTCTCTGAACCTCACAACCGTTTTGTGAGGTGGGTCTGAGCATGAGAGCAGGGGCTGCCCTGAGTGAGCCAGTGAGCTGTACGGTGAGAGCTATGAACACAGGTCCTTGCTGAATGCTCTAACCACTGCTCAAATTATCAGCTTGCTGCTCCCATCTGTACACCATGCTGACTCAAGAAATGGACCATTTTCTAAATATGATCAAGAGGGAATTCAGCTACCTGGATGCAATGCAGTGGAATCAGCGATCCTGTGAGAAATGGACCTTGGCCTCAATATGTATAAACAAACAAACCCTTGATGCTAAATTATCTATATGAGCATTTGAATGCATTTAACAATTGTTGGATTAAAAATTTTGTGCCACACAAAATATACATTCGTAAATGTAAGCAAAGGAAGAGAGTCTGACCACTCTTTACAAAATGGTAATGAATGCAGCCAGGATCCATTTAGAAAACCACCTGCCTCGAACCCGCTCTGCCGAATGGCTGACGGGCCTGGAAATATAGTGCTGAATAACTGGATAGATGGTTATTTAAGGGAATTACCATATCTCTGATTATCCTTTGTAAGAAGAAGATCAGATGGAGACAGAATGGCTTGCTTTCAAAGTCTAGAAAAAGCGGGAGAATTGATGAGGAGCTGAGAGCTGGTGATTACTGGCAATTTGAGAGAGAAGGGGATAAGATGGCCTCCAGGTGAGGTGGCAGCTGGAAACCCTCCTCCTTTGTCTCACCCAGTTCTTTTCCACCTCTGATCTTTTCCTGGAAAAGAGGAAGGAAGGAAGGAAGGAAGGAAGGAAGGAAGGAAGGAAGGAAGGAAGGAAGGAAACATATCTATTCTTCAAAAGCCTCCTTACAATAATTACAGCTATTTTTAAAAGGTTCAGTTAGTATTATTTTTTTCCTGATTCTGGTGGTTTGTTCACTCCACACTCTGACCTCCAAACCTTCCCATGTACCAGAGAGGAGTAGAAGTATTTATTTTGCGGTCACTGACCCAATATTTAGACCAGTTTTCTCTTGAGCACCACAAAGTGGAAGCCGGAGCACATGCGCTATGACAAATCAGCGCTAAATGGACTCCGCGCTATGTGAGATATTACTGCATTTTTTTAAAAAGGGAAAAATTCTCGAAGGCGATCGCCCGTCTAAAAGAGACACGGCACGTTCTCTCCCCCCTGCCTAAATGCAAAATGGCCAAGCAGCTGCAGAGATACCTTGCAGGTAATGGGGACATTGTACTCTATCCATCATGAGCCCCCAAAAAGGAAGAGATACCCATGATGCCGTTCGCTTCATGACTTTCCTCCAAGGACAGTGTACACCCCATCAAAATCCCTGCATGATTCATTTAATCGGGCACCAATAAGGATGACCAAGCAACCATAATTTATGAAATAGGAGCCCGTTTGGTTTCCTTGGTGCTTAATACACTTTCCTTAGAGACAGGGGAAGAACCCCATAGAAACACACATAACAGATATTATGTTTCTTGGGACAGCTGTTAATAATCCGAGGCCCTTCAGAAATGGGCTGTATTTATATATATACTAGAAGTTGTTGCCTGTGTAGAATAATTATGCCATTGAAAAATGCACAGTTTCCCACCTGAGATACACCTAATTGTTATAAAATAGTAATTGAAGCTAGGATTATTGAGCATTGCCCCTTCACAATTTCTTTTTCTCCACCTCCCCATTCTAAGGGGCCGAGAGGTTCTGCCTGCTTGAATTGGAAAAATCTGGATGTATTCTGTGTCGGTTCTTCTTCTGGCTGCCTTCGCTTTCTGGAGAAAACTCATTTGTTGGTTTTTGTCTTTGCCACTTCCTCCTTTACGTTTCAGCGACGACTCTTGATTGTATTTTTCTCCGTGCACGCTCTCTCTCTCTTTGCCTTTCATTCTCCCCGGTGCAAGGAAGAGCATTTCTTTTAAAAAAATTGAAGTTATGCGGAAGAAAGACTGCAGAGCCATTAAAACAGAATGGGGCCATTTGCAGCTGGAAAGGTGCGGGTAAATAATTTACAAGAGGGCCGAGGGGATGTGCCAGCCACGCACTGACCTCATTGTAGCAAGCGGGGAACCCATTGATCCGGAACAAGATGACTGATTCCCGTTGCTACCGAAGCTCATGACAAGGAACAAGAAGGCCGAGTCGCTCGTTGAGTAGCAAATCTTTAACGCCATTCCGAGAAAAGCTGCAAGGCCAAAATGCCATCATTAGCTCAACATCCACTCGTGCGAATTGTACCTGCTATATTTTTTAAATTGTCTTCCAAAGGTGTATAAAGTACTTTCGGCTCTGTTGCGCAAAGCACAGCCGGAATATCTCCATTGCTATAATTAACTCACAAGTGACCGATAACGGGAATGACGGGTTTGTGGAAATGAAAGAGATCAGAGCCTGGATAAGTCCCTTTGGGGAATTTCCAGATGAAGAGAATCTTCAGCCATCAGGGCCACAGCTGGCTAAGGAAGCTGGGATTGCAGTCCGAAAAGTAACCTTTTCAAGCTATCAATATAAGTAAGTAGATGAGCGATCACGAGAAGAGAAGATTCCCTGGAAAAGCTAAAAGTAACCTCTTCAAGCTATCAATATAAGTAAGATTCCCTGGAAAAGCCCCTGATGCTAGGAAAGAGTGAAGGCAGGAGGAGAAGGGGACGGCAGAGGACGAGATGGCTGGACAGTGTCGCCAAAGCGACCAACATGAATTTGACCCAACTCCGGAGGCAGTGGAAGACAGGAAGGCCTGGCGTGCTCTGGTCCATGGGGTCACGAAGAGTCGGACACGACTAAACGACTAAACAACAAAAGATGAGTGCTGGTGATAACAGTGCTGTTAACCAAAATGTGTCAAATTACCCGAGAAAAGTGAATGAGTAACTAACTGTATAACAAAACCCTTCCCCTAGCGCAGTGCATTGGTTAAGCCTCACCTAGAGTACTATGTCCAGTTCTGGACACCGCACTTCAAAAAGGAGGCCAACAAACTGGAGCAAGTTCGGATGAGGGCAACAAGGATGGTCAGGGGACTGGAAACCAAGCCCTAGAAGGTAAGACTGAAAGAACTGGTCAAGCCTTGAGAAAAGGAAGACTGAGGGGAGATAGGATAGCACTTTTCAAAGACTTGAAAGGCTCTCATCCAGAGGAGGGGCAGGATCTGTTCTCAATCATCCCGGAATGAAGGACACGTAATAATGGGCTCAAATTACAGGAAGCCAGATTTTGCTTGAATATCAGGAAAAGCGTTTTAATTGTTAAAGCAGTACGACCAGGGAAATAATTGCCTTGGGAGGTGGTGAGCGCTCCAACATTGGAGGCATTGAAGAGAAAATTGGACCACCCTCTGTCAAATCTACTTTAATGTGGATTCCTGCACTGAGCATGGGGTTGGACTCTATGTCTTTACTCACCCCTTCCGACTTTTGTTGTTGTTGTTGTTGTTAAGAAGTTTGGGGAAAAAAATCCCACAGACCTACGACTGAAAAAAAATGAAAATCTGAAAGAAAGGAACACTGACAGAATTCTTCTCCATCAGAGATACAACAAACCACTATTTTCGAGGATTCAACAAGAGTTACCAAAAGTTAGTTTAAAAAACTAAAAAACCAAATCTTCTAGAATCGTGCAGCTGCCTGGGAGATTCTGGTTATTTGAACTCCCTCAGAGCAACTTTTCACTTATGGGGATCTACAGTCACCATACAACGGCATGCCTGTGTAGAGGGTTAGTTGAAGAATCAACGTGTTCAGAATCGATGATAAGTGACTGGTAGGATGTGACAGGTACAAACATGACTCAGTAT